GAAAATGTGGAGAGTTATCAAACAGTTGACATCACATGGATAAAATTTTTGATAAGCAATTCGTTGCTTCTAGTTCTCAATCGCTATGATGGATTTTGGACGTTGCTTGGAATGAGGACAAAACTAAACGGTAAACATCGTAATAATCCTTGCAAAACTTACAGAACTTCATTAAATTCTGACAGTAATACGACTGCTTAGAGGATGAGTTTTCTTTCCTCATACACAAGAGCTGTAGTGTGCGCCAAAAACATAGGTGGGTGTGTAGAAGAGCAAGGAGCATACATAGAATAGGGGAATCATACAAGTTTTTCTAAAACTTGGAAAAAATCCAATTTATAGAACGGAAATCACATCAGAAGGGACGCTGTTCTAAAAAACATTCGTAAGTGGCCAGACTCAATCCACAAGTTCTTCAGCGACCAATCTTGGTATAGAAACAGTAGAAACAACAAACTTTATGGGTAACATTTTCATTGATGAACAACACTAATGTCAGCTGAAAAAACCGATATTGTTTCGAATAATTCCATCGACAGACGTCCTATTTTGGTCGTTAACTTCTTAGACGAAGCCAATTAATGACTAAAACCGCAGTGATAAAAACACTAACTCCTTCATCTTTTGCACTGCATATTACTGGAAGGAAGTTGTCCTTCAATGTCTAAACCAAAGTAGCAAGAAGCACTCCTGCTTCTGTTGCCTAGTAACAGCGTGCCTTCCTTTCCTAAATTCTTTGTTTCAACTGTTATCAAAACAGGCAGTACTGCACCTCAAATCCTGACGATTTAGAAGCCTTTCCATAATCATAAGCTTAACGGGGACCGTTTCAGTAAAACCGATTCCCTCGATTTCTCGAAAATCGATTTTTTGTCGCGTTTGTTACTTTATTTTTTCTTCATTTTAGAAGCAAACTCGTGTGATTCGCTAGGTTCTGCAGTAGAGTCTACTCACTCATAAATTCACCTTCACCGAAAGCCGAATATATGATTGATCAACGTAAGTGTTTAACATCCTACCATATATTACCATCCCTCGCTGAAATTAATGTCATCTCGTAAGAACTCTTGTCGGCGAAAACCTTCCTCCGAATCATAAAGGCTAGCGACTGCTACGGAAAAATCTTGGAAAATACCAGCACAGCCATCTTGAAGTTTCACGGAAATGATGTTCAACCATCATTTAACTTGTCAGTAAGGAGCGAACAAAATAGATTCTTAACCCATGACCAAAGCTCCACATGAGTCGTCCGCATTCATCAACACTAGTTGCTGAACAAGGAGGCGAATAGGAGGTATATTACGCCCACAACAGACCTATCACGCATGTATATAAGTAAATGAACACGAAACAACAGTTGGAGAATAAGTGCTATAAATTGATAAGAGCAATACTTTGAACCATATGGTGTGTCTAATCATCACCGGTTCTGTATCACTACTACATGTTTTTCAACTGTTTCCCATCGAAGATCAATGCATTGGTGTTGGTTAGTGGTGAATAATGGTTTACAAGACAGAATTGAGCATAAGGCAGAGTACTAGGCAATATGGATCCCGACATTTGTACTGAGAAGCCTAGCCAAAAGCGAAGTCCTATCATGAATTGCAGACATCCTCGATGGAACTGATAGGTGGTAAGCTAGCCTAACGCACAGCGGCAGGAAACTTGCACTGACGATGGAAGCAATCATGATGTTCACACATTATCTCCGGATTAAGGAAAAGTGCAAACTCAGCTAAGGTCCACACTATTTATGAAGACGGACCATGTAATCATCTAACTAGATCACGCAGAATTCTTCTTGTTAAAGTATTTGTGTAGAAGACCGAATTTTCAAAATGGGCCGTATGCATTGATTTACGATGTGAGGAAATGGTAACACTTTCGAACAAGCCAACACATCTTAGCTCACACTGAATATAACAGTTAAAATTGAAGCGATATAATCTATAGAAATTCCTAGAGCCGACTTTCTATTAACTTCTTCACTGATAAATAATGTATTGTTTTATAGGTAAGCGGACACGTGGTTGTTCCTGCAACATTTCACTACAGGTGCGATTGATTCCTGTTGTTCATCAGGAAAAATGTGAATAATCTACAAACCTCTGCTAACCAGATAAAGCGCCCTTTTTTGATGTTCTGGCAACAGCTGACCGACTAGATTGTGAAGCAACTTGACCTCTCCAGAAAAGATATATCTCATTCTTCCAACACAAAATCCTAACTTTCTGGAGCATATAAAACATTTCTCTTCAACTTTTTTTTCGTCGATTTTTGATTCCTTTCCGAAATTTCCGGAAGCAAAACAATTGAACAAGCAGGATTGCGACAAGTAGGGCACGATGTTACTCCTACAGCACGCAACGTCTGCGCTTGCGGTTTGCGTGCATTCAGAATTTTACAGGAATTCGTAGCGCAGTGGTTAGAGGTACCCTGCAATACATATGTGGCCTTTGGTTCGGCTCCGCGTCGTAGTCTCACCCAGCCTTCCATGCCTCCGTGATTGGCACACTGGTACCGGATTTGCCTGTGATTATAGCAGCACTGACTTAACATATTGGTAAACCTGACTGTTGGTATCGGACAGACAAAGAAACATTCTGTTTCCTTGATGAGCAAATATGAGGTTGCTAATTCAGCATTTATTCATTCAGAATAGCCGACTTTTCAGCGTCTTCGCCTTCCTCGAAATCGGAAAACTTGTTGTCTGAGAGCATGATTTTTCCCTTCACCTATCCCGAGTGATTCGGTGATGTTGACGAAATTCGACGCGCCAGAGTTAACATTCTGGTGAAATTTCAACTTTTTTGCTGGCCTGAGCCTAACCCACCAACAAGATCTTTTCTATGAACCTATTAAATTCTCAGTGGCTGTAGTAGTCGGGAAATTGTTATAAAAGACTGCGAAAATTCCAACTTTAAACAAGAAAAAGCAGCCTACAAGGGAAAGCTCTAAGATTTTTTTCTTTGCAAAGTCGCGGTCCGGCAATCCATTCCAAGGTTCCACGACTTCTGGTAAGCGACTCGCATCGATTTCAGCACAGAACGCCTTCTGTTCACGATCAAGCTCCCCAATGATCGACTGAAAAACAAAGTATAAGCATCTCAAATCTTCCAGTGTCAATATTGGATCCATTGAATTTTAAATAGTTGAAGATAAACTCAATTCAGTTGAAATTAAAATTTCTTTTCATCCGAAAATAAAACGTCATAGTTCAATTACAAAAAATCAATTGCAGGTTAGACAGCCACGGTCTAACGAACTACGACTATGAAATGAAGTGAAGTTCTAACGAAGTCAAGACTTCACATACGTTATCGACGATTGCATTCTTAGCAGAAATAATTCCACTGCTCGCTATGCTACTTGTGTCCTTCGCATAGGCAAAGAATTTCGCTAAATTATGAATACTATTTACAAAAAAAATTAAAACGACTCATAGATTTGATCGATAAAAACTATGCCCACATGCCAAAACTCGTCCTTTCTCTTGTATGTTATCAATGGAAGCCTTCGGGATTTGATTTTTCAGCTCCTCTACTGATTCTTTGCCTTCATTCTCTTTTTCCATACTGTTATGGAGCACCTTAAGATGTAAGATATTTCGTTAGCACTGTTTTCGCACAAAAAAAGATCCTTAGAAAGAAAGAACTCAAAACTATAGCAGAACAGAAAACCAAGCACGATTGACAAACAGAACTTCTGGCACAAAACAAGGTCTTAATTCCACCTAGTTCAGTCAACGTTTTTACGGTTCCTCTGAATATCGTGCATTTGGTTTACATGGCAAACCACAGCAGAAGCTTACACTTGCAAAAACACATTGGAAACGTATAAAAGTAGGTCTAGGTTTCTGATTAAGAAGAAGACATCCACTTCTTAACACATATATCCTCAATATAATAAGAATAGGAGAAAGGTTTAGGCGATGAAAGTTTACAACACCGTCGAAAAAGGGAGGAGTGCTCACATGATATCGTAGCAACATTAATATACAAACGTACCATTTCCTCCTTATCGCAAGAAATATCCACCTTTAGAGACGCATCTAACGATGTGACCACTTCATTCACTCTCTTCTTAAGGTCAGCAAACAACCAGGCCATTTTCTATATCGAAACGAATTGGAAACGGAAATTTGCATTGAAAAGTAACTTTCGAAAAAACAATTCCATTAGCTAATAGATAAATAACAGTAGTTTATCTACGCGAAGTATAAACGCAGAACATCCCAAGGTTCAGAAAATGCATTCCATATAATCTTGAAGTATTACACCGCTATCACATTTAAAATACGATGATAAACGCGGAAGCAGAAGTCAATCTGCAGACGATAATGCAACGATTTGAACTGAAAGCTTCAGTCTGTATGAGCACGATAAAATCACAGATTATGGGACATCGAAAAAACAACAGGATGATGAGGTAGAGAATGTTGTTCTAAAAGAGCGAAAAGGTTTTGGATACACAGCGGGAGGACAAAGAAGAAGTTACAGTCTACACGCGCTAAGGTAAGAGATCAACCAGGAACTGCTGACGAAAAATTAGGTACAGTTCAAACTACTAAACGTATTTGTTGGTACAATAATAAGTGATTAATGGTGTATTGCGTGTGGTACATTTCCACTCCAGAACATACTTTTCAGGTCTAATATATAATGTCGATTAAGTTAGAAATTTATTGGGACTTAGCTGGACGAAATTGGTACACCACTAGAGTCGCGATAACAGAACCCGCAAAACTCATGATTGACAAGACACTGGACCACTCGGTGATACATTTAGAGTTATATACAGATGGAAGAAGTTCTAAAACACCGCAACATCTTTTCCGTATGCGCACAAACTACGTAGTGCTACTACGCGTGGTTCTAAATGAGGAACAGTGGTAAAGAGTGCATCGCCTCGGAAAATCACGTCGGACCACGTTATCAGCTGATCTGAAATCTTATTTAGTCGAATACGATTTCATACAATAGTGAACAGTATAAGCTTTATCGAGCCACAGTTTCAAAATCATTCATAAACAAACGAAGAAAATGAAGCCCCAATAGGAATACTATGCCTGAAATCCTACTCACTAAAAAATAATTCAAGGGTGACAAAAAGGCGTAGAATAACCAACCTGATGCGGATGGCACTTGTGTAATTAGCTCACGGAGGTAGTTGATGAGATACTCAAGAACCGCTGCATTCACAGGTGGTAGTGATATGACAATTTTCCAAAGACTGAAATATCAAAACTATTTAATAAAGCAAAACACAAAATAACTTCTAGTGTAATAAAAACCTTAGGCAATACCTGCATTATGAAGCTACAAAAGAATGAAAAAAACTAGAAAAGCTTACGTTGTAGGATCATTTGAGGCACCTCGTATCATGCGATGCTTATCGAATGGAATCAACGGCTCTAAATACATTCTAGGTAAAACTGACATTGTTCATAGGAAACGTCCAAGTTAGGTGCAGAAATTTGTCTGAATGGTGTGTAATCCACAGAAAACCTAACCTTTTAGTGTGTCGATCAACCTCATCAAGGCGTTATACAGCGCCGAAACAGGAACCTGTAGTTGAGCTTAACACAAATATCGTAAAACGTGAAATAAATGTCGGCATCGAAAATTCATGACACCGGCCAAAATCCGACTAGTAATTCGACTTCGCACTCCTTACTCCTTGTTAGAAGACCCACTTAGGAGTAAATTATCAGTGCTAAAGTTTTTAATATCTAAATTGTAAGTAATAGTCACGAAGCAACAGAAACCCTTCCTGCTTCATAAAGGATGCGCCTGCCTGTGACACTGACAAAAGTACAGCTTAAGCCTTGGGAAACAGGACTCAACTGCCGAGGACAAACTAGAGTCCACATGGCAGCTGAATATGGAACTATGCTAGAATCCAAGCGAAGCAATCACGTGATAAACTACACTTTCTAAAACACAACTGCAGAACCTAAGCATGGAGAGGACACACAGTGAAACTTTATATCATTTGTATAAACTTCGGTCAAAGAAACTAACTCAAGTCTTTTGGAATACCACTTTCAAGTGCATTTCGTACGACAATGAATGAAGAATTGTCAATAACATCGTTTAAATCCAAGCGTTTGGGACCGAACAATTGAAGTGCACATATCAGTCGATAAATCTGAATGGTGGAAGTGAATATCGTTTTGCTCCACAGTAAACTACTATAATATGAGAATTAAAATCTCACTAGTTGAAAACTGAAGATACACTAGCAAAACATTTAAAAATTAACCTCACGGGGAATATTAGGTGGACAGAAATCATCCAGCTCCTCCGGTTCATTGCCCTGAATTAAAGCACTGTTCAAAAAGATTACATTAACCATAACAGCTATCTACTGCAAAACACTACCAGTCATGTAACCTACTTCTTAACACAAAATACAAAGGTTCCTTAGGAACTGATGTTGGCCTTAAGTTAGGGAAATTTCAAATCCCAACACAGCCATAACCACTCGTTACTCGAGTAGTGTAAGCGGATAGCTTGATGGTAGTGATGCCGTTCAATGCGAGGCACTTGTTCGACTCCGCTTGGGGTACATAGATCCACATACCTCCAAAAACAGGAAATTGGCAGCAAACTTATGAGAGATCACCTTGCTTCCTGTAATTCACAAACGCTAGCGAGTATAAGTGGTGAAAATTTGGTGACATCCCATCACGGCCATACCAGGGTTTAAGATATGATGGAATAAACTGTCATTCAGAGACACTCAAAGAGGACCCAAAACCCTCAAGATCATAATCGTTCCAAATGCAAAAACTTGAAAAGGATTTGGAAAACACAAAATTCCACTTAAAAATTAAACCGTGTTCGAAAAAAAAACATAAAATGCCGGACTTTCTGTCAGGAAACATTTTTGTCACATAATGCTATTTATCGAACACGATGGTTTCCCTTAACTATTTTAAACGGTTAAAGCTCTGAATTCAAAACAACCATATTCTACGCTAGGACACCTAGAACAGAACGACCACTGTTATTGTGTAACTGTTATTACTTCTGGAACTAAATCGTACTAATTCTCATTAAAAAAAAAACTTGGAGGGAAAATAGCATCAACATTAACAACTAGCGAGAAATAGGAGAACAAACATAAATCTAGTAAACCATACGACCGACCTATTAACCTCGGTACTGACTAGCACTTTCATGTTTTATTGATGAGCAAATAGGAGTTTATTAACGCAAAATTTATTCTACTCAACCAGACACTTTCATAACATCAGCAGAAACAACTCAAAACCTAAATTCCATTTCCATGGGATACGCCTACCGCAGATATTCATCGTTTCTTGAAGCGGAGCTTAAAAGACCCGGTGTACGAAGATCGACAGCACAGATTGAAATACCACCGAACATTCTACATTGTCAGTTGGTTTGTAATCGGTTGTATAACCATATCTTTACAACAAAAAACTGCAAAATTCGCCCCAACAGTAAGAGTAGTTATGGCATGAGTTTGCTTACGGTGTAGTAAAGCGTGTAGGGACGAATAAACTGGCGAAACGAGTAGGCCACTCTGCGTCCGTATAAAAGAACACCTATTTGGAAAACTTATCAAACAAAACTCTCCATTAAACATGCATGGGACACGAATGCATAGCGAAGAAGATGTTGAAGTAGAGCTTAGTACCCACGAACGAAAGTTTAAAACGTCAGTGCGAAAAACTTTCAAAGCACATTGTATAAATTTTAAAACTGCAAAAATGAATTGCAAGCAAGGGTACCTTCTGGTTACGCATGACCTCATCCTATACCTCAGGCCGATTTTATAATCCAAGATGAAAGCTATACACCGTTGTCAATTTTGTACGGCCGGTTTCTATTAATAAGTGGAAAACTTCTAAAGCACAAAACGGCAAATGTTTTAAAAAAATGTTTCCCATATAATTGAAATCAAGGTCTCCGGTTTTTTTTCTGCTGAAGTCACGGGGAAGCCGTTGAAACGTTAGTTATTGTGAAATAAATAATGTACTAACAATATTTTGTCTGAAAGCAGCAACTAATTGATCAATGCCACAGTCCTATGCACTACCGTTTTTTATGGGTGTTCCATTTATTATTGGATGGCAGCCGCGCAGTTTTTAGGTGGGAAATTCGTCTCTTTTACGCCAAAAAATCAGCTTGAAGTATGGCGTGACGTCACAAGTGACCACAAGACACTTCTCTTCACGGTTCACTTTGCAATTTTTTAAATTTATCCAAAACGTTTCAGAAGTTTTGCAAGCTGATTCTCCAAATTCCTGTGAGAGGATAGCGATTTTTGTTGCAAAATCTTCTCCATTATACCTCTGCATTCTATGCAAGTTATGGATTTGGTAGAATTCAAGTCAAATAAATGATAAAAAATAAAGGATAACACTCTAGGCGTTGATCAATCCCTGTGGGATGAGCCATCATTCGACTTCGTCAAGCATCATCTGGAGGTGAGTGAATGCATATCTGGCCTTTACAATCACTTGCGGTGACCTAACGATGTATCAAGCCAGTGCTGCTAACCTCCAAAACAAGCCCGATATTGATTTGCTTATCCCAGAGGGATGAAAGGCTTGGTGAGCCTGGGGCGCGGGAATCGATCCCGCGTGTATTCCAGGGCGCTCCCGACCACTCCGCCACATTTGTACCTTCTCACGATAAAAGGTAGCAAACGTTATGAAGTCAGAACCCACTGATATAACACAACACAATTTCGAACAAATTAATAAACTTACGAAATCGATCAAATTTCCCTCAGTTTCCGCCCTTCTATTTAGTAGCTGCTCAAGAGTGACACCAAAACATCTTGAAAAGAGTGCTTAAAAAAAACTGCAAGGCACAGAAAAAGAACCTCTTGAAAATGTTATATACCTGGGGTAATAATGTGCCACTACAGGGACAAAATAATCACGGCCATTTTCAAGACTCATAACCAGAATATCTTGAAGTTTTGTGTCATTTAATTCCCATGAAATATTCCGATCTATCATCACCGTCAGAGAAATCTGCAAAATAAAACTTGCAAAATGTCCAAAGCATCGTAGTCAAATGTTATACAAACTGTTACGAAACATGGTGTAAAACTTGTTCGCGTTTACCAAAAAAGAGTGAAGAAAACATAAATAGCGAAAGGAAAAGAAGATCTGAAGTTTTTACCTGAGTAGACTGCCCAACAGGTATTACATAGTGTGGTGGTGTAATCTGAAGCCACTTTGCACATATTCCACGTTCTGGACGAACAATAAATTTGAATCTCACTGTCGATTTTCCAGTGTTATGTATCGTTATCAAATGAGTGCAGGGTTCGAGAAAGTGAACTTCACCGAAATCTACCTGACAAAAGAAAGCGCACATCATAAAAGTAACAGTTTGCCCAAACTGTAAACTAGTCTCAGCACTTTGCACATCTCAGGCAATCCAGTTTATGAGGTCAAACGATGATAGGACCAATGAAAGGTTATCAAATACTGAGTTGTACATGATGCCAATGGAAGTGGATAAAATTAACAAGGTAACATGTCATGGAAACTGTACCAGGCTCGAACAAAGGACACTAAAGCGCTTCCACAAACGAAGACCTTTACACTTTTTTGAGGCCGGAGATCATATCAAATTCCATTTGATATCTCCATAACAGATTTCGAAGCAAAGATCCCGTCATTAGATGTTGCAGACATAAGCTTCGTCGTCCATACTTCCTCCACCCATATTGCCGGCTCTCTTTAGACCTTTTCACCTCGATTCGTCATCTTCCGTCTTTAATTCATGCCTTATAAGATCAATGCCATCAGTTAGACATTACTCACCGACCAAAACCGAACCGGGACAGGAACAGCTGGCGATAACGAATTATGCTCTCCATTTCCACCCTATTATGACCATCCACCGGTAAGAAGAAAATCTTGAATCTTGATTCGAAACACATCGAGCATGTAATTCTTATAGACTACCCCTGTTGGGATGATGCGAGGTTGGTATCAGTTGTTCTTGTTTTAATTCGATGGCTGACGTTTCCGCTATTTTTTTAACGCTATTCATATAGACCCGGATGGTGTAGTGGTGAAGTGCGCTGATCCCCGGTAAGGACAACAGCGCGTGTTCGTTCCCCACTGCATACACCTGTGGTCCGGAGTTTTGCAAATATCTCAGCACTTCATACGAGCTATTCATATAATTTGGTGGACAAGTCACAGTACTAATGAAGATCTACTGTATAACATAACACCGCTTTGTTTAAAAAGTACTCACCGAGGTGTAGCGAGTGGGACCACACGTGTGTCATTCACGTAGGATGACGAGCGAGACCCACCCAGGACAGAAAATCAATTTGAAATAAGCGCTAAGTTACGCGTGGTAGTGAGGCGTTCGTCTTTCCGGTTCATCCTTGTATTTTTCAAATCAATTCAAAACAGCTTAAAAGTCTTGTACGTTAATGTTCTTGTTTCCTGGGCTAGGATCCTGCTGATAGTCGCTTCAAAATCGCCACCGTTTTGCTGTTGTGCCCTACGTCTACTTGCACGTGTACTTTATCGAATTTCAAGTTTCCTATCTAGATTCGACAATCAACGTAAAGACCAACGGTGATTATTTTGACGTGAGTGTCGGGATCCTAATGAAAGAAAAAAAGCATTAACACGCAAGACTCTCGAAGCATTTCGGATCAATTATAAAAGTTTAAGAATAAACCAGAAAAACGAATACCTAGCCACCATACGCGACCTGGATCTTATCCTCACATTGATTTTTTGACCTGGTTGGGTCTTCCTCGTCATCCCACCTGAATTGCACAGGTGGTCCCACATGGATCAGCGTGAGTAGTCTTCTTTTTTAAATAAAAATGAATAAATTCATCTACATGTTTGATCTTCACTAGTATAACGGATGGTTCACCAAATTACATGGATAACGTTATATAAAATACGTTCATGCTCTGAAGTGACCCACACGTTAGCCATCGAATCATAACAACAACAATAACAACAACAACAGCAACAACAACAACAGCAAGAACTCAATGTTTTTCATCAATAAGCAGACACGAGGTTGTTAATATAGAATTTATTAGAACACAATTGCTGACGTTTCGGCGGTTTCGCCTTCTTCAGAGCCTGGAAAGGTCAAATTGAGATGTGATCTACTCAGCCAAACACTTTCATAACCCTAGCAGATAAAACTTGATAAATCGATTTTCATTCGCATAAGAAACAGCTTCATTCAAACACCTACCGTTTATTTGTTTTAAGTATTTAAGTTAGTTGGTGGATAGCCGCCGCACAGAGTAATACATGGTCGATAACTGGGTCCATGTCAGATCATTGGATCAGCCTGAGGTATGGCGCTAGGTCACGCGTGATTACGTGGTTACGAAATTGTAGCTTCTCAGGATAGGCATCGAGGAAATTCCACGCCCCAGAGCGATGATTCTAGTGAAAACAAGGCTCCGTTTCTGTTGCCCTTTATTTCAAACGAAATAAGTGCAGCTATAAAAC